CACCTTGGAGATGGCTCAGTTGGCACCTTGGGGAGAACTCTAGATGCATAGCAACTTGGGGACAGCTTGGTGCAGCCTGAGCCCACCACCACCTTGGGGACACCTTGGTTGGCACCTTGGGGACAGCTCTAGATAGGTGGTGACTTGGGGACAGCTTGGCACAGCCCTAGTCTGCCACTGCCTTGGGGACACCTTGGTTGGCAACTTGGGGACAACTCTAGATGCATGGCAACTTGGGGACAGCTTGGCACAGCCTGAGCCCGCCACCACCTTGGGGACAACTCTAGATGAGTGACGACTTGGGGACAGCTTGGCACAGCCTGAGCCCGCCACCACCTTGGGGACACCTTGGCCAGTGCCTTGGGGACACCTCAGTTGGCAATGGCCCAAGCCATGCCTTGGGGACACCTCGGTTGGCACCTTGGGGACAGCCTGGCCATGACCTTGGGACATCTGAGTGGGCACCCAGGGGCCACCCCATCCCACCCCCCCCGTCCCCCCCTCACTGGGCACCAGTGGCTCCTCAGGGGGTGCCTCCTCCTCTGTCGCTGTCCCCCGGAGCCCCACCACCTTCTGCACCAGCCCCAGCAGCCGCTGCCGCAGGGACGCCTCCTCCTCCTCCTCCTCTTCCTCGCCCGCCAGCTCAATGCCTGGAGAGGGACAGGGGGTCACAGGGGGGCCCATGTCCCCAAAGCAGGGGGTGTCCCACACTCCTGGGGTTCCCTGGGCTCCCTGGATGAGGGTCCCCATGCCCTCCCCTCAGGGTCCCAGGATGGGGGTCCCTGTGCCTTGGAGGGGGGGCTGTCTCTGTGGCTGTCCCAGGGGCTGCCCCTGCACCCCTGGATGGTCCCCGCACCCCAGGATGGGGGGGCCCATTGTACAGAGTGACCCTGCATTCCCCTTACATTGGGGGGGAGGGCCTTAAAAGGGGAGTCATCATGCCCCAGGGATTGGGGGTCCCCCAATGTCCCCAGGGGGGTAGGGGTCTCCATACCCTGGGTGGGGGTCCCTGTGCCCCTGGGATGGGGTTGTCCCCTTGTCCCCAGTGGGTCTTGGGATAGGAGGTCGCCCCACCACCAGGATGGGGGTGTCCCTGTGCCCCTGGGGGTCCCTATGCCCGGAGGGGGGGAGTCCCGGTGCGCCGGGGGGGGTCCCGTCTCACCGCAGTGTGCCAGCAGGTCATTGTGGAAGTCAAGGAGCTCGTCACGGATGTCCTCGGGCACTGGGCACTCCTCCTCGTCCGCCCCCCCCTTGTACTGCAGCAGCATGTTGATCTGGAGGGAGAGACACAGGAGGATACGGGGGGACACTGGGGTCAGCGGGACCCGTCCCGCAGCCATCACCCCACGCATGTCCCCATGCACATCCCTGTGACCCTACACCCACACCCGCACACACGTCCCTGTGTGTCCCCATAAATGTCCCTGTTTCCCTCTGCACATCCTTGTCCCTGTCCCTGTGTCCCCACACATGTCCCCGTGCACATTCCTGTTCCCAGACACATCCCCACACACATCCCCATAGGTGTCCCCATGCAAGTCCCCATTCCCCGTGCATGTCCCCACGGGTGTCCCCAGTCCCCATGTGGTTCCCCATGTCCCCATGCACATCCCTGTGGGTGTCCCCATGCATGTCCCATGTCCCTGTGCACATCCTGGATTCCCACACACATCCTCATGCACATCCTTGTGCACGTCCCCATGTCCCCATGCATGTCTTCACACAGGTCCTGGATCCCCGGGCTTGTCCCCACAGGTGTCCCCACTCCCCACGCGTGTCTCTGCGCATGTACTGGCTTCCCACGCTCATCCCCACGCTCATCCCCATGGGTGTCCCATCTCCCTGTGCACGTCCTGGTTTCCCACGCACATCCTTGTGCACATCCCTGCGCATGTCTCCATGCATATCCCCGTTCCCCATGCATGTCCCCACGGGTGTCCCCGGTCCCCATGTGTGTCCCATGTCCCCACACACATCCCAAGCTTCCCACGCTCATCCCCACGCTCATCCCCACGGGTGACCCCTCTCCAGCGGCCGTCCCCCCTCCCCACCTGCTCTTGGGGTGGCGAGCGGAATTCGCGGGTGCGCCGGGCGGTCTCGGCGGCCGACATGGTGAGCGCCCGCATCAGCTGCCCATAGCGGCGGTGCTGGTCGCGCTGCAGCCGCTCCACGTGCCGCTCCGAGAAGGCGACGATGGCCTCCACGCGGTGCTGCAGCTCCCGCTCGCAGAAGTACTGCAGCAGGTTGCACATCTGCGCCCGCAGCGTCAGCGGGGAGGTACGGGGAGAGGGACATGTGCGTCCCCAAAGTGGGGGGGGAGACAAGCTGGGGGGGGGTCCCCAGGGATGCTGTCAACTGGGGTGACCGGGGAGCTTGGGGGGAGTTGGGGACCCTCCTGGGGGTCCCTGGGGATGGAAGCTGGGGATGGGGACAGTGGTTGCACTGGAAGGGGACATGGGGACAGGCACCCCAGGGAGGGGACATGGGCCACCCAGGGCTGTGAGACACCCCCCCCCCCGGGGGGGTCATCTCACCTGCAGCTTGACCGACTCAGGCAGCTTCATCTGCAGCAGCCCTTCCTCCAGCCCTTCCTTCTCCTCCTCCTCCTCCTCCTCTTTCTCCTTCTTCTCCTCCTCCTCCTCCTCCTCCATCTCCCCCGCCTCGATGGCCTTCCTCCGCGCCTCCTCCTCCTCCTCCTCGCCATCGGCTGGGGCCTCCCGCCGAGGCTCCCCAAAGACCCTGGGCTCGATCATCTGGAGGACACGGCGCACGTCCTCGTCCCCCAGCGCACCCACGGCCAGCAGCGCCGACACCAGCTTCAGCACTGGCACCAGCTGGAATTCCACGCTGCCGCCCACCGGATCCCGGGCGTGGGGTCCCCCGCCGGCCACCGCCTCCGCCAGCATCCTGATGGCCCGAGCCCCCAAAGCCCCCAAGGGGATGCCAGGACTGAGCGGCGCCCGCCCGCTGCCGGCCGCCAAGACGAAACAAGGTTCGGCAAAATGGGGCTGGGGTCGCAAACAGGCGCTGGGACCCACGCCAGGGGGTCCAGGCGCTCGCCCGCCGTTGGGGAAGAGGGTGATGCTTTTGGTGGCTTCGGTCATGGGGATGATGAATTCGGCGCTCATGGAGGCACGGGCGCGCTGGGCGGCATCGAGGTGCATGGCCAGCAGCAGGTCGTAGTAGCCGGCGCGCAACGGTCCCGGCAGCTCGGGGCTCTCGATGGCGAAGAGGAGCTGCGCCTGGTCCACGTGGCTGCAGAGCGCGTGGGCCACCCGGTTGTTCCCCAGGGCGCAGACGGCGCAGTACAGCTTCAGCGTGTGCCACTGGAACCGCAGCAGGTCCAGCTGCTCCGACAGCTCCATGATGTCGATGCACCTGGCGGGGGGACGGACACACACACACGGGGGTCGGCATGGGACGCCTGGGGCCCTCCCAGTGATGGGACACAAGGGGACATGACACCTGTATCTCCTGGTCCCCTGGGTCCCCCGGGGATGGGACCCCTGGGGACACGACACCAAGGTCCCCCGGGGACGGGATCCCCAGGGACACAACACAGAGGTCTCCTGGGGATGGAACCCCTGGGTCTCCCGAGAATGGGACCCCTGTGGACACAACACCGAGGTCTACTGGGGATGGGACCCCTGAGTCCCCCAGTGATTGGACCTGGGGGTGGGATGACTAGGTGATCCCCCCAGTGGTGGATCCTCGGGGTCCCATGGGGGTACAACACTGAGGTCTCCCAGGGATGGAACCCTGGTCCCCTAGGGATGGGATGACTAAGTCCCCCAGGGACTGGACCCCTGTGTCCCCTGGGGGTACAACACCTAGATTCCCTGGGGATGGGATGATTATGTCCCCTGGGGATGGGTCTCCTGGGGGTACAACACCAAGATCCCCAGGGGACAGGACCCCTGGGTACCCAGGAGATGGGACACAACGTCAGGGTCTCCTCAGGGGAGGACATATGGGTGTCCCTTGGGGCTGGGACACATCGGGGTCCCCTGGGAGCAGGACATGCAGGTCCTCTGGGACACGATGCCAGGGTCCCCTGGGGCAAGACATCAGGGTCTTCTGGGGGAAGGACACCTCTGTCCCTTGGGTGGCAGGACACCAGGATGCTGGGGTCCCCTAGGGTGGCGATGGGGAGGACGGGGGTCCCCGACCTGTTCTCCTCGGGGATGTGGAGGGCCATCATGACGAGGGGCTCGGTGCACTCCACCACCCAGCCCTGCCGCTCGCTCAGGCGGGTGGTCTCCACGCCCAGGAACTCGTTGGGCATACGGCTCCAGGTGACGGGTGTCAGGAGCTGGATGGCCAAGCGCGGTGGGCACTGTGGCTCCGGGTTCTTCCGCTCGCTGCTGAACATGGCAGCCGAGATGGGCATGATGTTCTGGGGGGGCACAAGGGGTGTGAGACAGGGTGGACCTGGGCATCTGGGACGCCTGCTGCCCTCCCCCTCCTCCCCAAGACCCCCAGGTTCTCCTCAGTCCCTCCTACAGACCCCACAACCCTTTGTAGACCTCACTACCTCCCCAGTGGTCCCAGTTCTCCTGGGTCTAGACCCAAAGACCCCCAGCACAGGGGGTCTAGCTTCCCCTTGGTCCAGACCCCACTATTTCCCCACAGACCCCACTACCTCCCCCAAGGGTGACCTGGGGGGCAGAGGGGGGACCCAGGTGTCACCTTGAGCTTGCCCAGCTCGAACTGGATGACGTTCTGGCTGGTGGGGAGGGCGAAGACGGCCGGGAAGAGCTTGGTGTTGGGTTCCACCTGCACGGACGAAGGCGCTGAGACCAGGGATGGAGCTGCCGAGCCCCCGGGATGGTGACAGAACCCACCCCAGCCCATGTGGGGGGCCATGGGGTGCAAGGGGGGGGGTGCAGGTGGGGGTCCATCCCACCTGGAAGAAGGTGTTGATCTCCTTGCCGTTGGCAGTGAAGGTCATGAGGCCGGTGGCCAGGTCCACCAGGCAGCCGATGACCAGGTCGGTGTGGCTGACCCGCGCCTGCTGCGTGGTGCTGGCAAACTCCCCCCCCCACACCATGTAGCAGTTGCTCCGCTTGATGCTGGGGGGGGACGAAAAGGGGGGGTGGGCTGTGGGGGCCAACCTTCCCCATTGCCCCCTCAAGGGACCCCCCCCCAGGTCCTGAACCCCTTCCCCATCACCCCCTGGAGATGACAGTTTGGGGATCTCAGTTTGGGGGTCCTCTTCCTCGTTGCCCCCCCCATCGGATCCCCGATGTCCCCCCCACCCCCGCTCCCGTGGTACCTGTCGTGCACGTTGCCCTTGTCATCACCCATGGTGACGGTGACGGTGCGGACGCGGGAGAGGTCGAAGGTGGGGTCGTGCTGGTGGAAGTCGGGGGTCACCCAGCCCACCCAGACGCTGGAGGGCTCCTGCCCCGCGAAGATCCGCACCGAGTAGTAGTACTGGGGGCAGAGAGGTCGGGGGGGGCCGTGAGGGGGGGGGACAGGGATGGGAGGGGGACAGGGATGTAGGGATGGAGATGGGGGACAGGGACCACAGGGATGGAGACAGGGATACAGGGATGGGGGACAGGGACCATGGGGATGGGGACAGGGATGCAGGGGTGGGGGACAGGAATGGGGGACAAGGATGGGGGACAGGGATGCAGGCACAGGGGACAGGGATGGAGACAGGGATGAAGGCACAGGGGATGGGGATGGTAGACAGGGATGGAGACCACAGGGATGGGGACCACAGGCTGCTGGGATGGGGAGAGCAGGATGCTGAGGTGCGGGTCAGGGTGCCAAAAGGAGGGATGGAGACACCAGTACAGGGATTTGGGGGGCGCCACCCCCCCACCTACCGTGGTGGTGTTCATGATGACCTCGGGGTCGTCACGCTCGTCGGGGACCACGTCCTCCTCGAGACGGGGGACAGTGGGCACTGCAGGGGGGGGCGTGAATGGTGTCTTCCTGGCCTTGAACAGAAACCTGGGAGGCATGGGGGGGGGGGGTGTGATGTGGGGCACCTGGCCCCACACTCCCCATGGCTCTGCTCACCCCATAGCCATTTGTCCCAGGACCCCACCATGGGACAATGCCCTCCTGCACCCCATCACCCTGCCGTGGGACAATGCCCCCCCCATGCACCCCAAAACGCTGGGATGGGGCAATGCCCCCCCTAAACCTGCTGTGTGACCTCCACCCCATCCCCACTCACCCCCTCCGGGTCTTGCCCTTCTCGGTGGTCGCATCCTTCTCGTTCTCAACACGGGGCTGGTCCCGGGGGGCCGGGGTGGCCGGACCACCCCCAGGCCCCTTCTCGCCCTCACCTTCGCCTTCGGGGTTCCTGGGCCCGGCTGAGCGACGGAGGCGTTCAAATTCGGAGAGGGGTTCGAGGCTGACGTCCTCGGGGGGCTCAGGGGGGGCCTGCGGCAGGGGGGTGGCCCCGGGGGTGCAGCGAAAGCGAGGGTGGAACTGGACGGGGAGGCTGAGGCGGAGGAAGAGGAGCTCGGGCGACGTGGCCGGGGAGCTGGGGGCTCGGTGGGCTAGCCGCAGGCATGGCGGCGTCTCCACTGTCCCATCCATCCTAGTCACCTGTTGGGACCCCCCCACACCGGCGAGGTGTCACAGCAAGGGTGGTGATCCACGGGGATGGGGGACCCACAGGGATTGGGGACCCCTCCAGGATGGGCATCACCCCATCATAGGGATACCTGGGCATTGGGGAGCCGTTGGGGGTCAGGCATCACCCCATCCCAGGAACCCACAGGGATCGGGGACCCGTCAGGGATGGGAATCCCCCCACCGGGGGGGGGGGATGACCCTCAGGTATTGGGGACCCCCATGACAACATGCATGACCAACTTGGGGACACCCAGGGATCAAGGACCCTTTACACCCTGGGACTCTGCAGGGATGTGCATCACCCAGGGATGTGCAGCCCTGGGGACCCTCAGGGACCCCTTGCACCAGGGACACCCCAGCACCATGCACCACCCAGCCCTGGGGCGCCCTGGAGACCTCCACATCCAGGGACCCCCAGCACTGTACATCACCCAACCCTGGGGACCAGGGACACCCCGGCACCATGCATCACCCATCCCCAGGGACCCTCACACCAGGGGACTCCCCCGTTCCGCCCCCCCGTAACTCCCATGGGACCGACCCCATCCCACCCAGGCTCCCCCTTCCCCATCCCCTGACCTCCAGTTGGGGGTGGTCGGGGGGCACTGGGACGAACTGGGGGAGGCTCTTGCTGAACCAGAGGGTGATGGGTCTCTTCATGTTGATGGCGAAGGGCTCGTAGCCCTCCTGCAGCCCGCAGATGCTGAAGAACCGCAGGCTGCCCACCTCCTGCCCCAGGTTCAGCCGCCCCTCCTGCTCCAGCCCCAGGCTGCACACCGGCACGAAGCCTACGGTGGGATGCGGGAGGTCAGCGCCCGGACCACCATCACCACCCCCCCGTCCCCGTTAGACCCCCCGCAACTCACCCTCGCCCACGTCGAAGTCCTTGAAGGCCAGCTCGGAGCCGGCGTCGCTGATGAGGACCTCGCCGTTGAGGGTGAAGGTGATGTGGCTCTCCGTCAGGTCGATCATGCAGCCCACCACGTCCCCCGCCTGCCAGGTCCGGCCGAAGGGTTCGCTGCCCACGTGCCAGCGCTGTGCCTGGGGACACACACACACACAGAGGCTTGGGGGGGG